CGACTTTTTTTCCTTACCAGGCAGAAAATAATAACTCTCCAGCTTGTTCCGGGCAGGTGTGAGTTATGAGCTCGCAAAAGCGAGGCATTCATTACCCTTTTTCTTACTGCTAAAACGATTTACCGCTTCCTTACGTTTTTCCCGAGGAGTGAAGCTTCTTTAGATATTAAGATAAATGAACTGCAAAACTTATTTATACTCACGTAACTCATTTGAATTTATTTGATGTACGTGGTTTATTTTATCCAAGGAATGTCAATTTCATATAAATATGAAGTTTTAAATTGTTGTTATTAGGTATTTACAACTTGTAAGTGATGGGGATATTTAATTATCTTAATATTCTAAGATAGGGTGCAACAGTTTGGAGTCAAATGCCAATAGCTCTTAGGAAAGTGGCTGAGGCTTTCTTCAGCCCAAAGGGCATACGTTTCTCGTAATAAATACGTTTTTTCTATGTTGTTCTTGTTCATCTATATTTGATGGAATCCACAATCATTCGTAATGCACTAAACTATACAACAAATATTCTGATTATATTCATCACACAAGAAAATACACTTTAGCAATTATTGGTAAGCTTTTGATTTGCTGGATAATTTTTCTGCAAGTAAGTCGGTAGGTATGGGTGGCGGGTTCTGTGCCTTTTGACCTTGTAATATCCCATGTATTTTGTAATCGTAAGAATTTTGATTATTACCTACTCTTGAAAAGTTGTCCAGTATTCAATTAGAATTCCAGTTATCGGAACCAAAACGTTATTACTGAAATTTCCTAATTTTTTTGGAAAGTCACTGGGGCGTTCTTCAGTCCAAATAGCATGCGATGGTAACTGGCGTCTTATTTTTAGTTGAAAGATTTTTTTGCTGTCGTTTCATTAGACCATGACGACTGAGCTAGCGATTTTTTGCTGGAGGAGGAGAATAAAAATCAATCAAGCTGGCCATATCATAATCTTGAAGAATAAATGAGGCTTTAAGTTTCCAGAAAATTGTAATGTTTTATGGATAGCTATAACTAGCCTCTGCTTGTAAAATAAGTTCAAATATGCAGTGGCTTATTTCACCTTAATATTGAGAAATAGTACATTATAATAATCGTCCTTGTTGACATTATTAGTCCAATATATTTATGCAGCAAGTTCGCGATTATATTCATTACACAATTCCATTAAATGGAATCCTCTGCGGTTTGAGGTTAACCACCCAATGAGAGCATAAACTATCCCTTTAGACAGTAATGCCTGCTGGACACCTAATTGACCATTCCGTACAAATGGGAATAAGGGAGGAGAATATTATAATATGAACTGATGATGAATAATGCCTTGTCATTCGGAACAATATTAGATTAGGTGTGACCCATTGGCAAAGCAAAGAAATGCGAAAACGCTAAATCAAAAGCTGGCACTTTAGAAATTCACTTTACCCCTATCGGCGGATATAAATTCCTGCGGCCAAACGAAACATGCCGGGAAGTTCAATCGTAACGCTGCCAACAGGCAAGAAAACTGACCATTAATTTCCTGTTGCCCGTTCGCCGGACCCAACACGTTTGCCTAGAGGATATAATAGATGTTCGATAGTTTCGGTGTATAACAGGAACCAACGCCGAAATGCTTAAACTGATATTAAACGCTACCAAAGTTTGATAGTAAATTGAATATTGTTTGATTGTACGGAAATAGATTCATTTTTTTTTTTTTTTATAATTAACATTGTAACAAAATTAAGATGTTATGTAAAATTTGATATTTTAGTAGCGTGAATAATTCTGTCACATCTTTAAATTTCGTGGTAAATTATGCTGACAATTGAAAGAAAAGAGAGTAATTTCCCAATTAAAAGATTTTGTTCCAAATCTGATACTTTATTGGAATTAAAATTAAAAATAACTATCACCTCTTTGGAGAGCTTTTACTAAAACACCCGGCGGCAGATGAACTAGAAAATGAAAAACGGATCGAGAACTCGTTGAGACTTTGCGACTTAAATTTCCGGCGATAACTAGTAGTAAAAAAACTAGTGGCGAATTGGCGATAACTCGAACAACATCTGCTTAAATAAGCGAAAGGAACCACCTTCTGGGTACCACTTTAGAAGCCCATTGGCTACCTTTTAGTACCGGGCTTGCGAGAATCGACAAAGTCAAACATATCCAACCCGATTCGCTAAAAGTACCTTCTGGTTTCTTGTCTATTTCCCAATGGTTCTCAAGTTTATTCAACCTTCCCCATTCAAACTGCTCCACTCTGTTATCCAGTTTGATGGCTTTCCAACAGAGTTCGCATGGTCAAATTCTTAATTGAACATTTAATGTTTTCCCTTTTAATTGAAAACCTTTCCCTTTTCTAATTACCTAATATGCTTTCTATTCTTATTTCTTAATTTCCAACCAAGTCGAGTAAATAGAATAAAAGTTCCCTAATTTCTAATCTAATTATCAAGGGTGTGAAATAAACTAAACTATCCTCTATTAAGTTAATAATAAAATAATTGAGTAATCACTCCTATTTTAACCTACCTATATTTTAATTATAACTAAACATTTGACTATCTTAGTTAACATTTCATCCAAGTTATAACCCTTGATAATTGTATTGTTATGAAATTTGTTATTGTATCTTAAAAATTCAGCTCATATAATCATTGCTTCGCTACACACGCATGCTTCCGATATATTTTCCAGCGGTATCAGTTACCTGACATCTGGGTTCGTCATAAAACGTGATTATCCAGAAGATTATCATTGACTTTGAATAAATGATTACAACCACATGGGATCCTGTTCAGTCGACAGATTAATTTGAAGCTTAGTGTTTATCTAGGAAAACATAAATTTTGCCTATATATTTTGTCAATTTCGGGTTACAGCAATAATACTCTTGAAGCTATAAAATTTGATACTTATCTGGCTTTCAATTGATTTTTACTTTCGAACAGATTAGATCGTTCGCAGAACTCCATATGTTTGTGAATTTCACTAGGGTCACATTTTAACAATCTATAAAAATGAAACTTCTCCTACGAAAGATGAGCTTGAACTGAGTAATTTTCTCGTTTAACTAAACACCGTTTAGTTCTAGACGATGCAAATCACAAATATATAAACGTTGATCACTGATTAGCTAATCACTATTCACGGCGAACTGACGAAGACGGAGCAAACGGCCATAAGTCTATGGAATAATGCAATAATTGCAAGAAGTTAGTTATAAATTTATTCTTTGAACAAGGCGCACAAGAAGTATGCCATTGAAATATAATTTTTCTTTTGTCTATATTCAAATTGCCCCACGTTGTAGAAAATTTTAATTTAAGCTAATAAAAGACTTTCCGAGAGTTTTTCTAAAAGTTAACAGCCAATATTCGTTTCCTAACTATAAGCCAATGTAGACTTTAATAAAAATTCTTCAAAGCTTTATTAATGTTGCTCTGCTGCAAAGAAATGTTTATTCTCCAAAAAAAAGTAGTCGCAAAAATATTCCACAGAGGAATCGGAAACGAAATTTCCAATAGCTTTGACTAAAACCAAAACGGCTCTAATAGATATTGCCTCGTGGTCTAATAGATATTTATGTATCAAGGGTACTAAGTAGATGATTATGCCCTGAGGGCGACAGCCTTACAAAGCCGAGGGCCTCTGGCCCGAGGGTTCGTAAGTCGGCCGAGAGTATATATCTATTAGTACCCGTGGTGCATACAAACTTTTATGTCATACCAGGGGGACTTTATTTAAAATCGATGCAATTTTGCGTACACGCAAACGACGTCATTTGTGGCGTAGTTGTCAACCTGATGTTTAGAATGGTATATTATGCCCGCGCGGGCCAGAATGTGTACTTTATGCCCGCACGGGCATAAAGTGATGAATTATGTAGATGGTATCTAAGGTATAAAAAGACAATAATGTACTAGTATGACATAATAAAATAAAAAAACCTCTCTCGGAGGAGATGTACTTTTCAATAATATCACATTCTTTTTCTCGACATAGTCATTAGTGACTGAAAACCTAAAAGAATGGTGTTAAAACGATCGATTTCCACTGTTTTTTTTTTTAATTAAAATTTAATCCTCGAAAAAACCAACCCTCTAAAATTCTGTGTATACTTGTTGAAACTTTCCCTTGAAAAACTTTTCAAATGAATTATCGAGAGGATTGATAAGCCGGTGGGTGTATTACTCGCGTTTCCGGCAAATAATAATTAAAAGTTTACATTAATCGAACCGAATATGGCTAAAAGTTTTCGAATGATGGTCCTAGACCGACTATATTTTATCATTAGGGTACTTTTTCGATAATGGGTCGATACATAAATTTGGTGAATATTATAAGAGGACAAACACAACTTCTAGTTACTCAACGCACAACAGTGACTTGGGTAAAATGGAAGACAAAAATAAATGTGGATTTTTCATGGTACCGGAACCAAAGCATATTGTATTAATCTTGAGAACAAATTACGAACACGCAAATATTTTACTACATTCGCGGATTTCTTCAGATACAGATGAACAAGAATGACATAGAGAAAGCCGCATTTAATACGGAAAATAACCATTACAAATTTCTACGTATGCCATTTGGGCTGAATAAGGCCCCAGTCACTTTCCAAAGAAATGAGGAAATTCTAGTGGTTCCGATAATTGGAATTTAAATTTAATTGAATACTGGACAACTTTCCGAAAGCCGGGTAATAATCAAAATGAAATTTCAAATAAAATAAAACGCATATCACCTGTGGAAATTGTATTCATAATTCAATGCAATATAAGTCAACGCAAACTTCTCTTACACTGTGCCATATCCAAAAGCTTTATTTGCGAAAGGTTAATATCGTGCTTAGAGTGTAAACTAAAGAAGAATATTTTTGGGCCATAAGGCATTTGAATAATACATTGAGTAGTTTAATTATTACGAGCTATAATATAATAACAGGTCATTAAAAGTAGTGAAACCCCCTAAAGGGCGTGCCAGAAAACAAGGCAAAATTACTTTTAGGCATTTGAATTTTTTCTTAATAAAGTAAAGTACGAATAAGTAAATTTCAATATCTGAAACAAAAATTATTTATTAGGTTTTGATTTAATTCAATTTCAAACTTACTGAAATAAATGTATTAAATTTCAATACGAAAAACTTGAGTCCGCTTATTTTCATCGGACGTTTCGATCTTTCCATTAGCAAAAATAAAATTTTCTTAGTCGCAGTCGATCGTTTGTACCAGGGAGACATGTAACACGAAGTTGTTATATCTTCGCTCTAAAATTAACAAATTCAAGGCCAAACGAATCGAAATTATGTAACTTTACCTCTGTAAATACCCGATTTCCGAACCAACAATACAAACCGAGTTGCACCAGCATTACAGTGACGTAGACGGTTAGTGCCAGAGTTTCAGGGATGCTTTCGAACTATGAAAAACGAGATTTTTATTTTTTATAATGGTTTTTGTTGTTGATTAGTTACCGTGACTAGGTTTATTCCTGTGTTGCAAATAGCCAGGACGCTGGCGCCCATTTGGACGAAAATTATTACCGAGAAAACTTCTTGCAAGTTTATGATGAATCTAGAACAAATTAATGAAATTTTATATTAGTTAAGATGTTTGGTTCTATCTTGATTGACCGAAAAGTCTTAAGAAGAAGAAGGAGAGGCATTTTTCAAATAACCCAGGATTCAGCAAAGGCAGAAGCCATGTAGGTATAGAAAATTGAATCAAAAACTCAAAAATATTTCTGCTTCAAAATATTGGGTTCCCGTTTGAGGGAAACCAAAAAACATTTTCGTAAATGAATTCAGTTTTGGTTTACACTGAAAAAGTTTCACTTACTCTATTATTATCATGTCCATCAAGCTGAGAAAAAATATTTCCTAAAGAAATTTCAACCAACTAAACTCAAACTTTCCAAAGCAACAAAGTAACTTCCAATACTTACTCCTCAATATCCATATAATGTACACAACACTCGGTCAAATAGTCCAAAGTGAGCCGTTCGACATTGAATTCCGAATATCCGTCCGTGCGTCGCACATTCCGTTCGGTATCCCTCAATTTCCTGTTTAAAATCCGTAATTGGATGGCGGCAATCCATATTAAACTCACCGTTATTAAATCTGTGGCCGTATTAATGTAACCGCCATTGAACAGGGCGGCGGTTTCGAAAAAGTAAAACGGATAATGGAAAGTGCCGTTGTTGAAATGTGGAAATTCCATTGGTAATGGTTGATGTACTATGGCTGGAAATTATTTGTGTATTTTTTTTAAAAATAGTTTTGTGCCTACCTGCAAAAGCTGTATTGAATGTTAGGCTCATTATAACTTGAATGCGATAAAACCATTCGATTTTTTTGTAGGTTTTACCAAAATCCTGTAGAACATCTTCATAGAAATCATTGTACTTACAAAAGCTTTGTTTTTGTACTGACTCAAGTAACTTTAGCAATTTTTCTCCATTATACAATAAAACTGTAGCCTTCACAACGCTATTCATTACCGAAATTGACATGTATAATCTTTGAGATAGTTGTACGAAATTTCCAATATAGAAAGTTGCATTGTAAATCAGGCAAATTGAAAGCAATAATACGCTAGAAATTGACAAAAAGGTGCGGATTTTTTGAATTAAAGTTATAGGTCTAGTGGGCCACAATGCTACCATTTCTAAAGTTTGTTGCGGGTATTTGATGATATCGCTTAGAGACATTTTACCAAACTGAACTAATTTAGGTCATTTCGCTCGATTAAAAATGTAAAACAACAATTAGGCAGAATGCTACAAAATGGGGTAATTGCTGCTTTGCAAATGACATGGAATACAAAAAAAAAAATCGTGAAATATACATTAGAATTTATTAAAAATCTACCGGAAAAAAAATATAGTATAAAAGGGCGAAGAATAAATTTAACTGATGGGAATTAATTTTTGGGGTTGTATTTGAAATTCTTATTACGCCAAGTCTAGACTTATTCATTGAAGTTTTCCAGTAATTTTTATAAATATGAGAAAAGAATCTTTGCCAAAGTTGAAGGGAAAAGGTTTTGCTTTGACATCTAGAAATAATTTTTTTTGCAATTAAATGAAAATTACATTGAACCACATTTTGTTAAAGATAAGTATCCATTGCCTCGTGTAGACGAGTTCCTCGAAAAACTAAAAAACTGCAGATACTTTACAAAATTGGATTTGGCTGGTGGTTATTATCAAATTCCCATGGACGAATTTACAATTCCGTAAACGACATTTTCCACACTAGATAATCATTTTGAAAACCTAAGGATACCGTTTGGATTATGTAATGCTCCTGCAGTTTTTCAAAGAGCGGTCACTAAAGTTCTGGGAAATCTAAGATATGGATGGTGTACTGCTTCCTGCCTCAACTATAGAAGAGGGACTCCCTAATTTACGAGAAGTGTTGCAGTTGCTCAAAAAAGTTGGACTTATATTTTGGATTTTTCATTGAAAAGGTCGAGTATTTAGGGCACGAAATTACTAACGATGGAGTGAAGCTAGGAGCCAACAAGTGTGAGGCTGTTAAGTCATTTCCAGCTCCAATGGATGTCCATTAGGTGAGGCCATTCTTGGGGTTTGCAAGCTATTTTCGCAAGTACGTTCAGGGTTTTCCTATGATCGCTAAACCATTAACCTACTCAACAGAGAAAGATGTTAAGTTTTTTCTGTGGCGAGGAACAACGAGAAGCTTTCCAAATCCTGAAAAAAAAATCAGCTTCCAGACCTCTTTTAGCTATTTTTGATCCATCACTGGAAACCGAACTGCAAACGGATGCATCGAAATGGAGCCTTGCAGGAATTTTGCTTCAATTGCAACCTGACAATAAATTGAAACCTGTGCTTTATTATTCCAGAAAAACTCCAAAACAAATGTACCATTCGTATGAATTGGAAACCATGGCAGTAGCAGATTCAATGAAACATTTTAGAATTTATTTGATTGTCGTCGAATTTGCTGTCGTTACCGCGACTATAACGCAATCAGAACGACTCTTAACAGAAGGGATATTGTACCTAGGATACGAAGATGGTGGTTCAGCATACAAGAGTATACTTTCAATGTTGAGTACAGACCAGGACACAAAATGACTCATGCAGATGCACTAAGCAGGAATCCTATAGGTGTAAATATTGTAAATATACATGAGGAAGATTGTATTTTGAATGCACAGATGACTGATGAACAATGCAGGTTTATCATCGAAACGTTGAATAGACCGAAGCAAGATCAAGAAGACGAGGAAATCAAAAAAAATTATGGTTTAAAAAACCACAGATTATATAACGAAAAGTTGAAAGAAATATTGTCGATGACCCATTGAAAAACGAAATTATTATAGAATCGAATTCACCATATTCCAGTCCAATTTTGTTGGTTGAAAAGAAAAATGGCGAAAGGCGCATGTGCGTTCATTACCGAAAACTAAATTCAAAAATTGTCAAAGATAAGTATCCAATGCCTCGTGTAGACGAATTCCTAGAAAAACTAAAAAAACTGCAGATACTTTACATAATTGGATTTGGCAAGTGGTTATCATTAAATTCCCATGAAAGAATCTGCAATTCCGCAAAAGGCATTTTCCAGACCAGATGGTCATTTTGAATACCTAAGGATGACATTTGGATTATGTAATGCTCCTGCAGTTTTTCAGAGAGCAGTCAATAAAGTTCTGGGAAATCTAAGATATGGATGGTGTACTGCTTCCTGCCTCAACCATAGAAGAGGGAATCCATAATTTACGAGAAGGGTAAGAGTCGTTCAAAAAAGTTGGAGTTACATTTCGGACTTTTCATGTAAAAGATCGAGTATTAAGGGCATGAAATTACTAACGATGGAGTGAAGCCAGGAGCCAACAAGTGTGAGGCGGTTAAGTCATTTCCAACTCCAATGGATATCCATTCCGTGAGGCAATTCTTGGGTCTTGCCAGCTATTTCCACAAGTACGTTCAGGGTTTTGCTATGATCGCTAAACCATTAGCCTACCTAACAAAAAAAGATGGCAAGCTTTTTTGGGGCGAGGAATAACGAGAAGCTTTCCAAACCCTGAAAGAAAAATTAGCTTCCAGATCTTTTTTAGCTATTTTTGATCCACAACAGGAAACCGAACTGCACACGGATGCATCGAAATGGAGCCTAGCAGGAATTTTGCTTTAATAGGGAACTTGCATATTAAATTAAAAATGGAATAAATAATAAAACACATTAACAAATATCCTAATAAATGATGTAATTAGAAAAAAAAAGTATTATCTTATCTTTGGTGTCCAAAATCTTCAATTGAAATTACCAAATAATTCGAAATACATGACGCGATCGAAAACGTGTTTCTATGGGTCCTGACGTCACAAGGCAGTAATAATCGAATCGCTCCGCCGTCACGTCATGTGTTGCTAGTGTCGCCATTTTCAAATCCATTTTAAATGGCCATGTTCCGAGCGTAACTTTAAATATTTGTAAAAAATTAACGGCTGATTTTTAATGCTGGATATTGGGCAGTAAAGACATCAGTGCAGAAGATCACATTTTTTAAATAAAAAAAAATGTGCAAGTTCCCTATTGTATTATGCATTTTGTAATTGTATCTTAAAAATCCAGCTCATGTAATCATTGCTTCGCTACACACACACATGCTTCCGATATACATAATTCTTTCCAGCTGTATCAGTTACCTGGCATCTGGGTTCGTCATAAAACATGGGTATCCAGAAGATTATCCTTGTCTTTGAATAAATTATTACAACCACATGGGATCTGGTTCAGTCAACAGATTAGTTTCAAGTTTAGGGTTTATCTAGGAAAACATAAATTTTACCTATATGTATATTTGTCAATTTCGGGCTACAGCAATAATAATCTTGAAGTTATAAAATTCGATACTTTTCTGGCTGTCAACTGAAATTAGGTCGTTCGCAGAACTCCATATGTTTGTAAATTTCATTAGATGGATGACATTCCTTCAAATGATCAAATCAAATTTGGGAAATCGACAATGACTATCTCTACTATGATCACAAAAGAGCAATTTGTATCTGGAACCCCGACACAAGAAATAAGCTTCAATTTAACTAAAACCCTTATTAATTTCATCTAAACAAATATCAATAAATCCTAGTGGTTCTTTTCAGGCAAACATTTCCTATTAAATAAATCAAAAATGTTGAAATATTATTCAGTTGCACGGAAAAATTGCATCAATCATAAAAGCGAGAGGTGAAGCGGCAAATTATGCAAATCGGATCAGCGACTATAGGTCTAAAAGTTTCCGGAGAAGTTTATTACATTTTATATAGCAAAAAGGTATTTTTAGTGACGCTTAAAGCGATTCAAACAAGCGCGCCGTTTACAAAACTGTATAAGCAAACAGAATACAAAAAAGGGTTGAGTATTTAGCTTTTGGCCTCCTGTGTGGGAATTTTTTCAGCTGCGCATTTGTTCAAATAGGAACAATTTTGATTTATTAAGGCCAATGGAAATCAAATAATTTTTTTCTCTCTCGTGCTTTCTCCTAACCCTCCGACTATGGACAAATACGAAATTTGAATACTACTTGGCATTCAACGTAGCTCACTTTGTTACCTATCCTTCTAAAGGTTTTCCCGGGCCCTACGAAACTTTGTTTTATATTATTAAACGACCTTTAGTCAGGAATATATTTGAATACGATTTGGGAGAATAAGTTTAACCAAAAAATATTATTATCGTTAAACCAATAAAGGCAACGAAATAACTTGATAATTATCAATGACGTGCCAGTCACAATTAATAGAGGGTGAAAACGTGATGATCTAATGAATCCAATTAAGTCGAATAAGGGGTATGCCTAACTTGATTTACGTTGAAAAATATTTCAACCATAGAATTCATAATTTTAAATGGAGCACTATGCAATTAAATACAAGTAATGAGGCCAGAGTATATACTGCGCAGGAAAACCATTCCCTAAGGGCGTCGTTCTTTATTAAGAAAGCGAACTAAGGAAGCTATAATAAGGACAGCAATTTGCTCTTTATTTTTAAATTAATTCCTTTTAAAGTTGACTTAATCCTTTTAAGAGTTGATGTATTTATTTAATAAATCTGGGACTAAAAAGTCTATAGAATTGAATAAGAGTGATTATGTTTTCAAAGAAAAAACAATTAATCAATCTAGACAAACTTATAAAGTTTGTTTTCAATACCCAACTTCAAACTTAAAAAATTCTAAATTCGAATCCATTTAGGTTTAAG